CACTGCAGGCACTATCTGATTTTGGGTACCACCACAGACATGTGACCAGAGCTGGTCTCTGTCCCCAAGCCTCCCCCTCAGCAAGGCCCACCAATTTGAGATCCTGATGGGGTGGGAATGAGCCTTCAGCCTTGCCTCCTCTTCAGCCATACAGCACTAGAGCTTCCCTACTGTCACAGCTTGAAATGCCAGCCCACTCATGCCCACCACCTTCCTCGGGTGCTTCACCGTATGCCAGGTGGAGGTGAATCGTGCCCCCAGACTCACTCTGCTCTCGTGTTCATCACCTCCCTGAGCACTTTTCTAATGATAAGGCACAGAACTCCAATGCTCAAAGCCACCCCTGGCATGTCCCCTGCTCTCCTATCTGCCCATTCTCTCTGCATTTCAGAGGGACTAAAAGATCCTTTACCTTGAAAAGATTACTGCCCACTTTGAGCAGCACTTAAACCATCATAGAACTTTCAACAGGGAATTTGATTTTTTTTCCTGTTGGCGCACAACATACACATTTTCAGTTAATTAATCACTATCAAATAATGCCAGTCCCAGAGTTTTCTTATCGCAATATCCACCTGTGCCTGTTTATCCTTCATCTGCTGAACTGCATCTGCCTCTTCCCGAGGATGCAAACGCCTCGATAAACCAAATACAGGGGGTTTTATGCTCTCCACCTTCCCCTGAGCGATCCACCAGCCTGGTGGTGCCTGCCTGCTCCCTCCCAGAGCACTCCCTGGCAGGAGCTGGAAGGCTCTTTTGGGATGAACGCCCTCATTCACCACCTCCGAACGCTCTTTGCAAAGTACCCAACCTACGGCCGCGTCCAGAGCGCAAACCTGGAGCCGCACCGCTTTCCCGTAGGACTGCTCCATGCTATGGCGTGCTTCCCTCGCTCTACGAGGTCTCGTCGCCAGCCTGCGCCCTCACGACAGGTTTTTCAGACCGCGTTGAGGTCTGGCAGCAAACGCCGGGGCATTCGCTCCGCCGGCTTGCGCGGCTGCACGGCCGGGCAGGGCATCTGGCCTCCCGCTGCCACCGGGGACTTACTTGCTCCAGGCGGCAGCTCCTCGCCCAACAGCAGCCCAAGTTTCGCGACAGCTCGTTCCCCCGCGGGTCTGGGGCCAGGGCTGCTGCGCCCCCGCCGCCGAGACAGCCCCGGGGGCGGCTCCCGGGTGCTCGCAGCCCGGGCCGGGGTCCCGCCGCAGCCAGCGCTGGGGACCAGCAGCAAGAGTCCCTCCCGCTGCTGCGGGCGATGTCTCGCTGCCTTGGAAAGTTGGTGACGCGGAAAGGGTTGCAGGAGAACCCCGGCCCGCCGCCCCCGGGCACCCCCGCCGGTCCGCGCCGGTCTCCGCCCGCCCCAGCGTCCCTTACCTGGCGGAGCGCCGCGGCGGGCTGTCCCCCACATCCCCGGCCGCGGCTCCTGGGGCAGGGGACGCCGAGACCGGCCCGGCCCGACCCGGGGGCGGCAGCCGGCGGAGCTCAGCGGGCGGCGCTGCGGGGGCTCATCCCTGCCTGCCCTGCCCGCGCTGCCCTCCCTGCCCTGCCCTGCCCTGCCCGCGCGGGCAGCGCCGCGCGGGGCCGCCTCTCCACGCCTCTCCACGCCCCTCCGAGCCGGGCGAGGGGCGGGCGGGCAGGGACGGGGCTGCGCCGCTCCCCTCCCTCTCTCCTTCCCTCCCTCCCTCCCTCCGCCCGGCAGCGCACGCAGCACAGCGCCGGGCAGCGGCATCGGCACAGGCGGAGGCTCCGCGCTCCCCGCTCACCTCAGCACGGCTCCCCGGCTTTGCCGAGCAGGAAACTCCCCGTTTCTTTATTTACCTCCCCGTTTCCTTATTTACTTCCCCGAGGCGCCCGGCCAGAGAGGGCATACCCCCTCCAGCCGCGGGGGTGGGGTGGCCCTGTGGGGCTCCCCCCGTGAGAAGTGTGCCCCAGGCTGCGTGCTGGCAGGGACACGGGGATCCCCGTGGAACGGGGTCTGGATGCGAGGCAGCAGGTACCCCCAACCCTCCTTGCACCCCAGTGTTGCGGCACCAGCAGCCACCGGGGCCCCACCGGGCTTGGTAGCGGTGGTAGTGCGCATTCATTCGCTCGTTTTCCGGTGGCCTTTGCTCATCAAAACCAATATTGTCATGGGGACTGGTTCTCCAGCTCCAGGAATCCTCTCTGTGCTGCCCAAGCCAGGGCTCACCGCCACGGGCAGGGACCAAAACCATCCTCGGCGGTGCCAGTGCCAAAATACTGGCAGATGATGGCACCTTCCCACCATCCTGACCACCTGGGAAGGTGGGATGGGACAGAGGAAAGAAAGTATGGGAGGGCGTCAGGACAGTTAAGGTGGCTGCGCTCTGACAGTCACATTACTCTCTGCTTCTGCTTCTGTTTGACCCCTCGAAACAGTTCAGACATTTTACTTTTGGCAACTTTGAATGTTTCCCTTTTGTCCAGCACTTGCCAACTAAACTTCATTTTTAGCAGTTTAGCTGCAGCTCTGCTGAAATGGCAGCAGCCAGCAAGAGCCAGGTTATGATTCTGGAGATGCTATAATGGATATTAATTTTTTTTATATCCCTGTTTTACACTGTGTATGTTTGGAGCTGGGCACTGTAAGAAATCACAGTGGCTTTCTTCTTACATCTATTTGAGCAACACTGAGCTCCTGAAAACCCCTGAGCTCTGCAAGGAGCTCCCCAGCTCAGGGATTTCCAAATCTTCGCCTCCGACTCTAGGCTTTGCAACATGTTAACTGTGGGGTTACAATACCAGCATGTTCATCAGCAGTTCTGAACAACGTCACTTGGCAGTGAGCAGGCTGCAAGTAACAGTGAAGCCCAGGTCTCCGAGCTTCAATTGTGCCAAGAGAAAAATAAATCCCTGGGAACGCTGGTCTCGCCTCTACTCTCAGAGGCCTCCTAGGCTGCGACAGTGAGTTCAGAGCTACGAGATTGCTTTTAAATCTCCGGAAACACAATGGCAGATCGTCACATTTTATGTTTAAGCATTTTGGACTTGCATTTGCTGTTTTAAGAGTACCCAGATCTTGTGTGTCCAAAAATACTGGTATTTCTCAAGTCTTTTACAATATCCTGACAGCCCTAGCCCTCTTAATCTAATTTTAGTAAAGTTTGTAGGGATTTTATATTTATAAACAGTTGGTGCTTAAATATTATTTCCCTCACCATAGCAACAGCTCCCCATTGTAGCATTCGTTATACGGTGCTATTGCCTTGGTATATCCCTGTTTTGAGTGAGAAAGCCCTGAAGTCACTCACTTTCTTGCTCTTTTCCTGCACCTTGAGAAGGACAAGGACTGAGGCTCCTGCCTGTCTGACTCTTCGTGGAGCTGGAAAAGAGCCATACCACCAACTGCTGCTGGAAACAAGCTGGTGGCCCTGGGGTTTCTATTGCTGGTGCTTTTGGGGGAATGTGTCAGCTCAGGCCAAGCCCTTTCTGCTGATTCACTTGCCATGGTGTAGCCCACCTTGTATCTGTGAACCCACAGTACCCGTGCAATAGCTCCAAGTGGCCACCCCCGTGTGGCATACGGGCCTTCGGCAACTCCAGGTATGCTCCAGCTTACTTGGCACCTCCAGAGAGCGGTGGGGAGGAGCTGAGAGCAGGCATCCAGCTGGCCTACAGCCATGGCTGTATTCTGCTCCCACTGGGGGCCAAGACACTGGAAGTGCAGGAGTGGCAGGATTTCAAGGAGTTTGGCCAAACAGGGCATAAACCAACTCAGGGACCAGTGCCAGGAAGAAATCAAGGGGCTCACAGTAAGAATGGCGTGCATCTGAGTGCTTCCCAGTCTTCCCAAAGAGTAAGGATTTTCTCCTCTCTTATGCATCAGCCCAGAAACAGTATGAGCACTGAGATTGCTCTGAAATACATCTGAAAAAATCCAGGGTGCCCAAAAACTTGGAGCAGTCCACAGATGCTTGGGCACATACCTCCAGTTGCCGGGGGTTGTTCCCCACCTGCAGGATTGGCACAGGTGACTGGAGAACTTGCAAACACCAGTGATCTGCATCTATGCAGCACCTGGGCTTAAAACATGACATTAAACCTGGGGCAATCAAGATATCATGGCTGTAGAGGCCGTCTTATACAAAAGAAAGCAATTTGCGGGAATAATGGAGAGGGAAAAAAAAAAAAAAAAGAGAGAGATGGATAAAACCAGGGTTGAAGAATAAAAAAATGTATAAAACAGGGTCAAAGGACAAACAGATGCTTCTGATGATTTCAGCTGGGCATGATCATATTTTCTGATGCTCCCTGGTATTTTAAGTGTTAATCTAGAGAGATGGTGTTGGTTTGAAAATTTACATATTATGGCTCTGTATCTCTGACTGGTGAGTATTAAAATATTAATTAGGCTCTCTGGTGTGTGTTTGTGGTCAGTTTGCTTTCAGAGGAAAGGACTGCTGTGGCTGTATCTCACCCTCATTAAGGAAATTTGGTTCTGTTTAAAAGGCATTGATTTTCCCCTGCATGGCTCTGGGCAGGAGAGCAGGGAGGCTGCTGGTAACTTGGAGAGTCAAAGAAGCTCACTTCTTAAAATTTTCATCTGAGCCCAAATGCAGTTTGAAAGCATCCAATTTCCATGCTCTCCAGCAACAGATTTCTGTGAAGGGTTTGTATTTTCTCAACTTGAGTTAAAAAGTTCAAAAAAATCTACCTTATCCCTAACCTGTTTGGGAATATATGTAATAAAATATCAGTGTAGCTGTTAAGGTGATATGAAGGTTACTGTTCCAATCTCTCAGTATGCAGTCGGGAGCAAAGTTACGATTCCTTCAGTAACCTGGCCGCGTTACATACCCCGTACATCTTGCGAAACACCGTTAACATAAAGAGCAATGTATTAAGGCACATAAATTTAAAGGCAGACTAATAGAAAATACTATTTTAGTGCTTAAGCATGGCATTTTGAGAGTCTGTGTCAGACTGTACTGTAGTGTTTGTAAACCCACCTGCATGCTACGTTTTTTTCTGCGGGAAGAGAGGAGGCTCTCCCCGGGGCTGCAGTGCCGGCGTGCCGCTCCCGCCGGCTCCCGGCAGCAATGGAGGAACCCTCCCGCCTGGCTGAGGCTTCCCATGCTGGAAGAAAGCGTCTCTCGGGGCCGAGATGATAAAAACTTTGCTGCCCCGCAGGCCAAGTTTGCTCAGAGGACGGAGAGGTATGTCGCAGAGGAAGAGCTGCTGTTCCGCTCGCTGGCGGCTGCTCGGCAGCAGCGTGGCTACGGCTGGGGCATTGCAGCAGGGTGGGAGCCGTGGGAGGGCTGCGACGAAGCGGGGACTGCCGCTGCCCCTCCTCTGCCCCGTGACTCCCTTTGCAGGGCGATGGGATGCAAGCCTCCCTGCGAGGAGTTTCTACAGTCTGCCAGAGCCCCGTGGGGTCACCGAAATCATTCCTAAACCCCGTAGGAGCTCCAGCCGAGACTTCTCAGAGTGATTTTTTGATACCTTAAGGAACAGAGGCTGGAATATTTTGGGGACACTTGACTTTCAGAAAATGTCCTTTCTCATTGGCCTTCATGTAAAAGCTTTAACAAAATACTTGATCCTTCTGTAGTTCAGAAGTGGTGATAAACAGCTCATGCTGTAATTCCTTCTTTTGAGGAGTTTATAAAATCTGTATGTGCAGGACTGGTAATGTACCAAAGGATGTGTTTATTTACCCCAGCCTTTCACTCCTCCTTCCTTTTTGATTTGCCCTCCCAAGAGCCACAATAAGTCAATATAAGACACAAGGTAAAGGAAATGGATGAGGACAAAAGTAACTCCCTCAGTGTTATGCACTCAGACATATTCACAGTATCATGGCTACAGATCAATTTTAGATTGCTGGGGGCGGGGGGGTGAGATTTTCCTCCTCTATAAAAAAATTAACACAACCAACTATCTATTTGTAAAATCCAATATTTTAAGGGCCAAATAGTCATTGTGACTGCTCACCCTTGCCCCTGTGGGTGACAAGCTACAGCCTTTTACCCAATAATTGCTGCACCTGAGCCATCAGCAGGGCACAGGTACACCTTTGTCTCAGGAGAGATGCCTTTGTTGCTGTGGGTGAGTTGTTCCAGAGCCTGATGCACCTGACAGTGAAACATGCCTCTTATTCCTAGTCTGGAGGTGTCGAGTTTTGGCTTCCAGCCACTGGATTGCATTATGCCTTTGCTATTAAATTAAAGAGCTATCTACTATCTGAACTACTTCTCCTATGTAGGTATTAATAGATCTTGATCAAGGTACCTCTTAACCTCCTCTCTGAGAAGTTAAATAGACTAAATTTCTTCAACTCTCACAACAAAGCAGTTTTCTGGGCTTTTCATGATTCTTGCCAGCCTCTCCAGCCTGCCTGATGTCTGCTTGAAAACAAAGACCCCACGAGCACAGGGAACATCTCAGGACTAATGGTGAAAGCAGCTCTGCTAACTCATCTCAGCTAAGTTTCCTGCCTTGGCTCATCACACCATTGTCACCAGCCTGGGCATAGCATTCCATCTTACTCCCAAGAAACTGCCCAGGAAAAGGCCAGGCCTTACAAGCTCCTGTGGTCTGCCTCACTCCTAGCACATAAAATGACACACATAAATGGGACACAGTGCAGTTCTCCCTTACCCTTCCTACTTGGCCCCTGGCCACAGTCATCCTGAGATTAGCTCAGTTGGTCAGAGCCTGGTGCTAATAACACCAAGGTTGTGGATTTGATCCCTGTATGGGCCATTCACTAAAGAGTTGAACTAGATGATCCTTATGGGTCCCTTCCAACTCAGAATATTCTGTGATGCTGTGATCCCTCCCAGGCCTATTCCCACCTCCCTTGAGGTGACGTCAACAGGAAAATCATCTGCTGTTGGAAACTTCAAACCAGTGTCAAAAGCTGTATTGGACTTTCACATACGATTGTATTTTTGTTTTCTTCTCTAAAAGTGTACATCAGGCTTCATGGTGTTAAATGTGCCCCATAAATCATGTTGTATCCAAGTCAGTGCTTTTACTCAGCCTTTATCTTTTGTAGTCTCATTTTTCTTGGGAGTTCAAAATACAGTAGTAACTTTAACACTGCTTCTAGTATTTTAAATAAAAGTCATTCACATACTGTGAATTTACAGAGGGCTTGGGTGGGTATTTACTAATTCACTGGAGTGAAAATGGAGGCTTTGGGAAAGTGTCAGTGAAGACGTGAGATTAAAAGCCTGGTTAAAGAGCAATTTCTCTCTGGGTCAACCCACACCACTTCCTAACCGGTCCTGTGCCACTGCCTCACTGCCAGCCTTATAGACCCTCCCCAGCTGCCTCACACAGGCAGAAGAACTCTCAGGAACTGTTTCTCAGGATTTCTTGGTGGTATTAGGTATGTGAGTTGCTTTGATGAATGCCACATTCATGCCATGCCAGGGTGAGGTGCCCTGCACTCAGACTTGTGCGTCTTGAAAATTTCTGTAAGTGGCCAAAGAGTGAGTGTCATTTGATCATAGTGTAAGACAGCCAGATCTTAAAGAAGGGGAAAGTGACTTTATTATACAAAACCTCCAAGCAAGTTGTGTTTACTCATTCGTGCTCTGTGACGTACAAACACCCAGATGTGTGTCCCCAAGGACACACTTCCTGTCACTTCAGGATCTCTGCAACCCAATGGACAGGGATGCTGGTTGCTGGGTCCTCCCTGTGATTCTTGTGTTCCTCTTGCTGGGAAATTATGAAGTAGTTTGTTAGACTGATACCGTCTGTCTGTTCAGAGTTGTCTTTTGCAACTGTGTTCCTGTTGGGTTAACAGGAAGTAATAAAATGCTGCTGTCTTCTGCTAACACAGTGTCTGTCCTGGGGCTTATCAGAACTTGGGCTCGGTGGTGCTCAGCTTGACTAACTGGAAATGCATCTTTGGTTATGAATACAGCCCTTCTTTTAGCCCCTGTTCTGCTTTTCCCCTGGTTCATACACCCATAAGCTTGCATTTGTCTTGCATCCGTACCAGCCCTAATATTTCCATTAAGAGTCTCTGCAAGAGCTAAGATAGGGAACAGCGTGCCACCTGCTAGGCCTGGATGCCATGTGTCCTCCATGTAGGGGCACATCAGAGCCCCTCCTTGCTTACTGCCCAGGGCTGGAATGCTGGCCATAGAGGAAGGAGTAGGCTTTACATAGAGCAGGTCTGTCCCAGTATCCCAGCATTGTGGGTCAGATTACTTCCCCATTTTGTTAAAAAAAGGATGCAAGGTTTTAAGAATGAGTGTGGTGCTGTTGGTTCTTATTGTAACTTGCAATATTTCAGGGTTTTTTTAAGTTGCTCTGAGGTTGGCATGGCCATGGCCACCACATCTGATAGGGATCCCCTCAGAGCGCAGGCACCTTAGGAGGAATTGGCCAGTCCCCAAGGAAAGTGGGGAGGCTGCTGGATCCTGTTGGTAGTGCTTGGGACTAGAGAAAAGTCTGGTTGAAGGGCTGTAGTTCTGTCCTGAGGTAGTTTTGCCTCTACCCTGACTCGGGGGATTGCACATGGTGAGAGGTGCAGCTGCCAAAGGAGCATAAAAGAGTGGGGTGCTTGCATGGGAAGGGGCTGCCAGCCTGGGCATGCACAGGCAGGAGGTGACGGGACCCCCAGCCCCGACCCAAAGAGGAAAGGGCTATGGCAGAGGGTCCAGGGCAGTGGCACTCCTAGCATCCCAGAGCTGTGCCTCTGCTGCAGAGCCAGGTGTGACCCACATCACCGGCATGCACAGCATCTGCTCCACCTCCCCAGCCCTTTTGATGTGGTTGTCATGCTTCTGCAGAACCTTGAATTAGCTCAGCATCAGTGGAGTCTTTCATTTCATCCCAAATTGCACAAAGTTCACAAAGCCTCTGTGGGAGCCTGCACGCAACCAGGATGCGCATGAGTTGGTGCCTGTAGAAGATGTAGAAGACCTTCAGAGGAAATAGCGAGGAGGGAAAGAGTTTAACGTCCACTCAAGGAAACTTTTGCTGCCAGGGAAAAGCTAGCATGGGAAGAAATTCGTTTCGCATTTAGGGTCCTGTGATGTTCTCTTTATCTGTCTGCCTCAGAGGTAACTCCCTTGCTACCAGTTATAAAATTCTCACAGATGTGCCTGCAGGACCCCTCAGGGGGGCCAGGCAGGCCATAAAGCACAGGGGGACAACACAGCCTGGGGTTTTATTGTGCATGCGAAAGGTGTTGTTATAAAAGCACCAAAAAGGGCTTCCATTTTCTGCCTTCTCAGCCAGCTATGTTGCAGTGTTCTTGACGGTTGAAATTAATTTTCTTTGAAGCTTTGGTCACAGCCTGGTGCCTGGAGTTACCTATGTGTATTCAACCCTTACACTGTAAGCCCAGAAAGCACCCCAATCATGTTTTGTCTCTATGAACAGACAGGTCCCCAAGGACCAATCTCCTCCAGCTGCTGCTCTGGTGCCTCAGAGGGTGCTCAGAGTATGCAGAAAGCTGTGCACTGAAGCCCTGTGCACTGAGCCCTGTTGGGTACCAGCCCCATGCCCTCTCCACAAAATACCGTGGCACCCATTAGACTGGAAAGGGCTTCCCCACTGGCAGGCACACAGCGCTTCTTGCCAGAATGCAGGGCTGCCCTGGGAGGGAAGGAGATGAGCCTGCTCCCCACTGGGTCTGTGCTGGCAAAGGTGGGGAGCTGCTGTTTCACCCTGTCCTGAAAGAGCCAATCTCTGAAACACTGCCCGTGTGGCTGGCAAAAGCTTCCTGGCTCCAGGGCTGGGAGAGAAGATGTCATTAGCCATCTGACAGGTCACACAGACAGGTCATCACAGAAGCAGTTTTTCCTTTAACACACCTCTAGGGTGCAGTGGGGTGGGAGAGGCCAGGGGCCTTTGCCTCTGGCACATTGCCACCCCTTGCAAAGTACACCCCAGCCCAGCCTGCTGCAGCTGCAGGTGCCGGAAGCCTTGGGGCCACTTCCCTGAGCAGGCGTCCTTCCTTCCTCTGATTTGTGCCTGTACTGGTGGCTGTAGGAGCTTATCATATGTTTACTGTTGGCTGCAGGAGAGCTGGAATCCTGCTGCTGCTCCCTCCTCTCCAGCCAGGCTGGATCCCACTCAGCCCCATCCCAAGGAGAGGGGGAGCAGAGAGCACAGGGAGCATCAGCTGCTTTGAGGAGCACTGGGGTGATTGTGGCCTTGCTGAGCAGAGCTGCAGCATCATGCTGAA